TGAACCAATGGTCCGATCTGGTTCAAATTTTGAATTTGAACTCAAAACTTCTTAGATCCGAAGTTAGCGGTATAGAGGTATAGCGGTCCAAAAGTTACAACACTTCAAAGTTGAAAGTGGATACATTTGTACCCGGGTGTGTGTTCTAGGGTTAAAGGTAAATTATGATACAAACGAAAAATGTCATACGGCAACCATAGTCCGCACACACTAAAGTAAACAAACTGGAGATTAATAGCAAATTAGCGAAAAATAAACACAACAAACGTTGTGNACTCACTTTTTCGTTGTATACTAGCATTAATAATAAAATTTGCAATAAATAACTCAAAAAGGCCATATTTGCTTTTGTTTATTTACAAACATGTGTTTGTGATCAGCTGATTTTCTTACTTGCAAGTTTTAGATGGGAAAAATTTTTCCACCAGAAATTTGCAGCTCTCTTTCATATTTTGCTCTCTCAATTTCCCCTACTTTGCAAGTTTTTTGGGTACGAGAACGCAAAACCAGTAAAAGTTTTCTAAAACTTTAGATAGTTGGGCGTACGAGTACACTCCTATTGTTAGTCTTTAGGTAGTACTATGAGATAAGTTGTAACATTAATAGCAAATAATTGTGAATTAGGATGTGTTTTGAAATGAAGTCACGTTGTTTGGTTTGAACGGTTTAATTAAAAGATGTGTTTCTAATTAGGACGAGTTGGTGTGGGTGTTGCACAGGTGTGATGGAGGGGAAGTGGGTGTAGTGTCTGAACGGATACAATCAGAATGACTTGACCGACAAAACACCGACGTACCTTACGTCAGGTTTAGGGGGCCTTGCGGGATAGCGGGAGTCATGGCGAGGCCCAAGGCTGCTTTGAGTGTAAGCAGATGGGGTGGGATTTTTTTACCTCGCTTTTATTAGCTCGGGATGTAACTATGTAATATTGATGCGCCTAAAAGACGCAGCGATCTCCATTCTCAAGTTACATAACTGACGACAGTACGAATGGGTATTTTAATAGCGCGGTTTTAGTTTTTTTAAACTACAATTTTTATTTCTTCCCACTTTATCTATCTTTCTAATGTTTCTCACATTTCGGTAACTAGGCATGAACTCCCTATTTTGTTTATGTCTGCTGTAGGTAAGGTGGGTGGTAAGGACCACGCCCGCCGACGAGCTAACCTAGCCCTAGCATGCCGACCACCACACAACACTTGCACAACTTCGCTCCGGCTACTGCAGCAGGTTAAACTCCTACCTGAGTAGGTTGAATGGGGATGTGGCGAATGAGTGTCCGGCATGCGGAGAGACCCCACATGACTCGAAACATCTCTTCGCATGCCCGGAAAACCCGGCAACCCTAACGGCCTTGTCCCTGTGGACAAACCCCACAGAAGCTGCACGCTTCCTAGGGTTGCCGTTAGTGGAACTTGACGACAACGACTGAGATACCAACCGTCCTGGGCGGGGTTGTTGTAGCCGCTGCTACAACAACAACAACAACCACCACAGTACCATACCCTCAAAGTCAGAGACATAACATAATGCCAACTCTTCTTGAGAAATAAGCGAACAAGTAAAAAGGCAACATTGGTGGGGATGCGAAAGCAATAGAGTGCGAGTTTCCCATCGCATCGCATTTGATTTTCGAATCGCATTGCTTTGCGTATCGAATTACAGAGTAGGGGCCCTGATATTTTTAAAGCAAAATATTTAAGCGGTTGAAAGCCTTCTACATATTATGCACTTGTTAATTTCGAAAATCTATTTGGCGATTTCTGAAATCCATTTGACGAGTTCTAAAATCCAACTGACGCTTTCTGAAATCCATTTGCCTCCAATTACATATTCTGAAATCAAATTAACATATTTTGAATCCAATTACCTATTCCGGAATCCAACGAATATTTTCGGACATCCAATTGTCTATTCTGAAATCCAATCGAGGCTTTCCGAAATGCAATTTGATAAGGCTGTTCAGAATGTTGTGGAAATGGCCTTGGATTTTCAGTTGGAATTGCATTTGCAAATTTTATGCTTGCTGCCATGGCGACCGTGTGAATTTTATTGTTGTGAATTTACAAATGAAAGAATATACAAATATGCAAGATCATATGCACAAGATTCTGAACAGCCCCGATGTTTTCTCATTTCAAACTGGAAAAAGTGTAGTTAAGTATAATTGAAATGTTTTATGTTATTTTATTTTAAATTAACCAGGTTTGTGTTTATGTATAGTAAAATTAAAAAATCTTCATAATTTAGGAACCCCTTTTTTTATAAGATTACAGCTTTTTGGTAGTTGAGAGCAAGTTCTTGATTGTATAACGTCGAAGTTACAAAAGGAAAAAAACTTCTCATAAATTCGCCGGGTATATAAGGTTCTGTTTCGCCCGACCATCTTTAATTCTTATATAGAAGATTTAGATGCATATTTCTGTGGTTATAAGCAATAATCGCCTAAGTCGAAAATCCTGAATTCGAGAAAAAACGCTTTAAAGATTTGGATTGTAATGTAAACCTTATGGGGAAACCAAAATATTTTGATCTATAACTTTTTAAATAGCCTAGGTAACGAGATGGGAGTTTTACACACACATGGAATAGTAGTTGCAGAAAACGACAGCATATATAACTCAATTCTTTCTTAAGTCGACTTAGGCGGTTATTGGTTATGACCACAGATTTATAGTTAAGTAATTTTATTAATTCAATTTTAATTTAACATAACAACTTGTAGAAAAATAGTTGCAATTACACTCTCATCAATAATGTATGTACATATTATTATGTAGGTAATAAAAATCATTTCATTTAAATTTAAGTGTATGTTCAAAGAAAGTATAGGTACTAGACCGTTCGTTATTTCAACTTCTTTTTTAAATATTCAGTTTGCCGGGCGGCAAAAGATGTCTTTTGGTCTAAAAATAAGCTGTGCAAAATTTTATTCGAATATGATAACTCTAAGTACTTGCGCGTTGCATTTGAAAATTTAGAAAACCATATGCATTCTGGGAAAAAATTTTTTAACAAAATAGTTGAAAGTCGTGAATTTTATAGTCATTTGTTATGTAAAATAACTCACACAATCTGAATATGAGGTCGAAAATTAAAAAAGTAGAATAGGTTTTAAGAATTTGCGAAATTATAGTTTGTTTTCAAATTGAGAAAACAGCATTTTCATTTTTTTCCAAAAATATCCGGTCGTGATTATCACACCGCAAAGAGATCTCCACCAGATGAAAGGTCTTTGAAATCCCTACGAACCTGCTATACAATGTTTTGCAATCAAATTATCAGTTTAAGAGTTATCTGCCAATTTATTAGTGAAATCGGACACAATTTTAACTCGCATCGTTATTCTATTGTGAATTACACCTAAAAGCTGCAAACTTTTTGTTCTCATTATTATGCTATGTTAAAGCTTATTTAATTTCAAAGTATACAGATCCAAATTTTTTGCAAATCGATTTGAAAATAGAAAAGTTATAGCAAATCTAGGAAATGACATTGGATTCAAGCAACGTATCGATACTGTACAGCACGTTTGATTGTAAAATAAATTAAAATATCATTTCCATTGGCATGTTATTCACATCGCAATTAGAAAAACAGCTGACAATAGGTTTGTTTCATTAAGCAATAGTTTTAAATATTTTTTAACAATTGTTACAAATTATCATGCTTTGGCTAGCAAAAAAGTTGATAAAATAAGATAAATTGAGATAGCAAAATAACATTTGATTTTTAGATAAAGTTTGGAAGTTTCTGCGGGATACATTTATACTTGTAAAACTGAAACAACGGTACTTATTGAATGTATTATGTATTTATATTATGATCCTTATTTTCAAGTAAAACTACGCTCAAAAGTATGTCTAATAACCGCTTGAAAAGCTCATCTGGTCAACCTAGTGCCCAGTAACCAAATTCAATAAAATGTGGCCAAATTTGATAAGAAAAGAATATTTCAGAAAAAGCTTGTAAAAAATAAAACTATATTTCATTGACAAAAAAGAGGAGCAAAAACAATTGGTGCTTCAACTTCTTTATTAAAAAATCATGAATCATGAGCTTTAACATAGCATAATAATAAGACAAAAAGTTTGCAGCTTTTAGGTGTAATTCACAGTGGAATAACGATGCGACTTAAAATTGTGTCCGATTTCACTAATAAATTGGCAGATAACTCTTAAACTGATAATTTGATTGCAAAACATTGTATAGCAGGTTCATATGGATTTCAAAGACCTTTAATCTTTTTGCGGTGTGATAATCACAACCGGATATTTTTGGAAAAAATTGAAAATGTTGTTTTCTCAATTTGAAAAAAAAACGATAATTTCGCAAATTCTTAAAACCTATTCTACTTTTTTAATTTTCAACCTCATATTCAGATTGTGTGAGTTATTTTACATAGCAAATGACTATAAAATTCACGACTTTCAACTATTTTGTTAAAAAAAATTTTCCCAGGATGCATATGGTTTTCTAAATTGTCAAATGCAACGCGCAAGTACTTAGAGTTATCATATTCGAATAAAATTTTGCACAGCTTATTTTTAGACCAAAAGACATCTTTTTCAGCCCGGCAAACCAAATTTTATTTTTAACGAACGGTCTAATAGGTACATTATATATTTTTGGAGTGCCTTGATGCTGAAAAAACTTTTATCTTCAATAATCCTGGGTTAACCTCAGTCCACCTATAAAAACAGAAAAGCTTTAAAAATCAACACTAAAATTAGGTTATTACTTACCGAAGGTTGCGCTCTTTCAGACGAGTCTTAACTTTGTTTTTAATAGTGGAAACTCCACCTGTGCTATGTAGACCACGACCAGTGATTATGAATACGTGCTTATAACTACGAGAAGCAGCCCGCAGTCCGGTAATATGGCGATCTATAAACAGATCCAGACATCCGATTGCCTCCATCACATGCAAGTAATGTAAGTCTAAAAGCTCTGGGTTATTTTGTGTATATTTGTGCACATCCATAATACAATTGGCTGCGCGGTGATTGTACATATCCAATTTCATTTTGTGTAAGTTTGCGATTTGCGAATAATAAACAGCGACAGCACTGTTTCCTTTTTGAATGGCTTCTTTTGCTTTTTGATAGCATTCGGCTTTGAGTTGACAATGATGTGCCGCCAGGTTTCGCATTTCCTCAAAATCGTGCAGCGCCATTCGTTTTGCTTCTTCTGGCTGCAGAGGCCCTTTGGATATGCGATCTTCTCTGGCTTCAATGTACCCGCTGTTTTTGTTGCTTTTCTCTTGTTCCTCTTTTATCTGTATGTTTAAATGAAATAATATAAACAACATGTGTACTTATACTCTATGTTGCAAATTTACCATTTCTTGCTCATCTAAAGTACAATCCAACAATTTTTTCTGCAAATTTGAAAATGTGTGATGATCTGTCGATTTCGTTGTGCTGTTGAGAACTTTAACAGTTTCGTCATAGTTATTGTCATGAGCAGTTAAAATTTCAACAAGAGTTTCACGCGGAATTTTTGGAAAGTCTTCGCATAATTTAATTTGGGTTAGGTGAGCGGCGAGGTCACTTGGGTGATACCGCTGTTGTATATTGGTTGCTCTTTGAATTTCAGTTTCTTGATCATTTTTGTAAATCTGCCATGCATATTCCATATCTAACAACTCCTGTATGTTTCCGGGTGACTCCGAATAATTTTCGTATTTTGGATTTTTCAGAAGACGGGCAAAGTCTGCATCCTCGCGACTAGTTCTTTGCCTTTGCTCTTCAAGTTGATTATATGCGGACTCTATCCAGAGCATATATAGCTCCTTGGCTAAGGTTCGAGGCATGAATACGTTCAAAACGGGATTATCGGGAAATTTTTCTACCAATGATGTCATTTCAGATTGAAAAATATACTTCAATTGTTTTACTAACTCCTCGCCGATATTGATTTCTATTATTTCATTGACTTCGGCGTCAGCATCATCGTCGCCATGTTCCTCCTCATTTAGTGGGTCTGTCTGAACTTCGATACTGGCATAGCACTTTCCTTGGGGATTTCGTAGCTTTTCCCGCATTTCACGAAGCTTTCGAATATGCGGTGAAAATTGCTTACCGTCAAGAACAAAGCGATTCGCTATAACCTCAGTTATTTCTTGGATCTCTGGATTTGTCCGGTTATTTACGCGCGCGGCTCGCGATCGTTGCCTTTGAGGTTTTGTGCCTATTCCAAGCGAAGTTGGCGTTGGTGTTGGGGGAATCGCCGTCGTTATACTATCGTCTGCAATGTTTGGTTGCTTGCCACAAGTACATTGAAAGTCATCGGCAATTTCAGGTGCTGCCTCAAAATATTTACTACCCGGCGGGGTCATTAATTCATCCTCTCTTAAAAGAAGATCAACTGTCCAATCTATGTCCCCATCACATTTTACAAACAAGTCCCATAAACTAGCCACTTCCTTATTTGTATAAATTTGACGCAGCGATGCAAATCCCTTATTTTCATTCGGACAATTAATGCTATGTCGGTCGAAAAGTTTTTGATTCAAGTTATTTACATTTTTATTTTCACAATTTTGTGATTTGTCTTCATCATACACACCTTCTCGCAACAAATCTAAAAGGGATTTTGCTTGAGACTCATCCCCTAGCAGAATTTCTCGCTTGTCACTGCTGGACGGCATATTCCAAAATTGGTTTAGTTCCTTTTCATGCGGCTGCCAAGCAATCGATTCTTTGATTTGGATTTCATTTAATTCTCCCATTGCTTCTATTTTAGGAGGTGGCTTCAATTCTACGCTTGCGCTTTTCTGTTTGGAAGCTGATCTTTCTCTTTGGGCCTTTGGAGTGTTCTCATCGATCGATTGACAAGCGGTTTCCGTAGTAGCCGTGTCAGATAAATTACAATGGTCTTCCGAAGCAGCCCTTTCAGGTCTATATATTTGAAATACTTCGTCGGTTTCGGTGTCTTGTTGGCCGAAGGAAATAGGTGGAATGGATCGCATTTGTGGGAGTGTAACACGATATCTTGTTGTCTTGAGCATCTGTTTGAATGAAATACATACATATATGTAAATATGTAAGTATGTATATTTAAAATTAAGGAAAAAATTACTTTCATTAAAATGCTAAAAGCCAAAATCCCATATGTAAGTATGTATATCTTAACCTGAGTGGATGTCGACCTATCTCGGCAGCCAGTTCGAAAACGCCCTATCTCAGAAAACTTTTAAAGAACGCCCTACTTCAGAATTTTATTGAAGAACGCCCCATTTCAGAATTTTAGTGAAAAACACCCTATCTCAGAATTGGGTTGAACAATGCCCTCTCAGAATTCGGTTAAAAAATGCCCTATCTCAGCTTAAAATAAAAATGTGCTGCGATATGGCGTTCTTCAACCAAATTCTGAGATGGGTGTTTTTCAATAAAATTCGGAAATAGAGCGTTTTCGAACTAGCTTCCGAGATAGGTTGATCTTCCACTCAGGTATCGATATGAAGTTAACATAACCATAATACGAATTTCCAATATCTCAGTGACAGCGCCAACTAGCGAGTCCAAATCGACTGCTGAGTGGAATATCGACTTATCTCGGCAGCCAGTTCGAAAACGCCCTATCTCAAAAAACTTTTCAAGAACGCCCTATTTCAGAATTTTATTAAAAAAACACCCTATATCGGGATTTCGTTGTAGAACGCCATATCGCAGCACATTTTATTTTCAGCTGAGATAGGGCATTCTCAGAATTCGGTTCAAAACTGCCCTATCTCATTTCAAAATGTATTGAAAATGTGCTGAGACAGGGCGCTTTTGAATCGGCAGCGGAGATAAGGCGTTTTTGAAACGAATTCTGAAATAGGGCGTTATTCAACTAAATTCTGAAATAGAGCGTTCTTGAAAAGTTTTTTGAGATAGGGTGTTTTCGAACTGGCTGCCGAGATAGTAGGGATGGGTAAATTCGATATTCGAAGCTTCGAGATTCGAATTTTAATCGAATTTCAGCTCTAAAATGGCGAATTTTTGAAATCGAACTTTGTGGTGCTAAAATACGGATAAAATGAAGTTTTTCTAGAACAAATCGAATTTCGTCTTAATTTGCAAAAAAGTAACTCTGCAACTTTCTTCTTTTTGACTAAATTTGACATCATATTGTGTGTGGTACCATATTTGCCTTAGGATGCAAGTCAATAAAATACATCGAGGTTTTTTCGATCTGATGCAACGAAATATTGCATCGATGCATCGTATATAAAAATCGATATTTTCGATGCAGCGATTGAATTAAGAATATACAAGCAAATTGAAAGAATTAAAAGTGAAATATGTAATGACACAAAAATAAATTTTTTATTTAGACCTATATTCACAAAATGAAAGTGTATTTATGTCATCGAAAATATGGCCTGTGTATCAGAGACTGGCATGCGTTGAACGCCAACTATTGCATACTCAATCAATACTGCTGCTTTGTACGACTGAGCAGCGCGTTGACTTAGGCAGTCTGAACATGGTTCGTATAGCTTTAGACGCGTATACAATTTTTTATGCAGCAACGCCTCAAGGCAAAACATGTTAAGTGATGCAAAATTATTATTTCTTTAATTAATTTTCAGTTATTTTTCTATTATTTGGACGAATTTTATTGTTTTATCGCTTTTTTTTTTAATGAAATGCATGCATGCACACGGAAAATTGTAAACAAATTTCTTTCTCTTTTCTAAGCGTACGTACGCCTAGCTACCAACACTGCTGTACGCCAAGCGATTTGCAGTTAGCTTGCTTTGACGAATTCGTGAAGCTGACGACTCGTATACAGCCCTCCATTTAAATGCACGTGTGCGTTATCAAAGCGTACAACTTTCGTATGTAGCATCTAATACGCGTCTAAAGCTATACGACCCGTGTGCAGACTGCCTTAGTAGTATCGATACCTAAAAGAAATTAGTGGATGACTGAACACCAGCCCAAAGCGTGCTGTGTGGCAAATACAGCCACCGCATGTGAACGATACTTATAACAGCTCATACTGATATTGACTTCGGAAAACCAGAACTCCGAATGCTTGCCCACGAAACAAGCAAACGCGGCATTTGAACGGTTGCCGAAAGCATGAGAGCTCATTATTCCTCTTTAAAATATGCCAATTCAGTTTTTATAACGATTTTTTTATATTGCATCCAACGTGCATTACAATTGTATATTATTAACGTTATATTATTTAATGTTTTAAATTATAATTTGTTTCTTAATTTCGTTATTATTAATGCTAAATCAAAAACTTTGCGCTCAGCTGCTGCGGAACTGTGAGGCAGAATAAAAATGTGATGAACTAAATCAGAAATTTCTCCAGCGGCCCTTCACCCAATCCATTTTTAATCAAACTTACTTGATCCCAAAAACGTTCTATATTGGTACAGTTTTTGAAGGTACCTTCACTCAGCCTCAATTTGAGAAATTCAGATTCAATTATGTCTGCATCATTTATCAATGCAAGAAATTGGTCGAGTAGGGGCAAAATTGATACATCAGTGGCAGAAACAACTGTATGTGGTATAATAATTTCAAGATGTTGAATATCTTTTCGACAGAAATCGAATATTATTTTCATGTGATAAATGCTATGGTTTAAGTTTTGCTACCTTTCCATAGTTTTGCCAGCCACTTTAATATTTAGGGGACTCCCTTAAACGCGAAAAGTGGAAGACTCGAAAACTTCGAAAGTTTTCGAGGCTGTTTTTGGGAATGCACCTTTTTTCAGCCTCGTAAACAATGGAGAAATTCCGAAGTTTGACAGTTCAGTCAGAGTTTTTTGTATACATACATACACATATAATACATCGCATCAGCTGAAATAAATATAAAATCAGCATTGAAAATGCCACGAAAAAGTGAAAAATGTAAATTGTATGAATTTATTGATCAAAACGCAGTCAACGATTTAATGATGCTCGAAATATTTGGGCCAAGTGACGGTTTGTACTTTTGTACTTCTTTTAATTTAATAAGTATTATAGTTACATATTTTTTAACCAATCGCAGGATGCAATCAAGAAAAAAAAGAAAAAATTCTTGATGAATGGCTTCTGTCCACTCTGTCTGTAAGCTGTTTTCGATATAGCAGCCCTTTTCGACTTAATACGGTTCCAAAGTCAAAATAGTTTATATGTGATGTCTTACCAAATTTAGATAAAAAAGATTTAAGCAATTAGTACGAGTAAACTGGACAAACTTTAATACAATAACAAATTTAATTAAAAGTGACGAATTGTTCCAAGGACCCAGATCTTGTAAACAATTCCCTGTTGAGTTACAACTTGCCATCGTTTTATTTCGATTAGGATCTAGCGAGGAGAGGGAGCTACAGTAGCAAAAATTGCAAGCTATTTAGGAGTTGGCGACGGTGGAACGTTGCAAAGGATTACGGATCGAGTATTTGGCGCAATTTTAAAAATAAACGATAAGTTTTTGTTCTGACCCGACTCTAAAGAACGTCAAAATATTGTGTCGCACACATGCCACGAGTTGCCGTACTGTATTGGTTACGTCGATGGCACAGAAATAAAGCTAGCTGAAAAACCCGTAGAGGATCCCGAGTCGTACTTTTCTCGCAAGCACATATATTCCTTAAAGCTTCAAGCTGTATGCGATTATAAGCTTAGAGTTCGTAGTATTGTACTTGGGTATCCAGGCAGTGTGAACGACAGCAGAATTTATAGGAATTGCAAGTTCTTTACAAAGGTACCGAAATATTTTAGCGGCGACGAATGGATAGCTGCCGACAGTGCCTACAAGCTAACTACTACTGTTATAACTCCATTTCGATCTAATTCAAACGATGGTACTTTGCAGCAGCGGAACGATTTTAATAAAATTTTTAGCAAATATCGCATCCGAATTGCTTTGGTATTATGAAGGAGAGATTTAACAGCCTAAAGGAATTAAAAATTCAAATAAAATACGATTCAAGTATTAAATTAGCTTGTCGTTGGATTTTGGTGTGCGGAATTTTGCACAACATCATATTAGAGCAAAACAATGACGATTACTTTTAATTTGAGAATCTGGAGGATGCTGATAATGAGAACGATAAACTAGAAACCTAAAATCAACAATTCCCAGTCATTGAAGGGGAATTAAAACGACGAGCTTTAATCGAAATTATAAAAGAAATGGAAAACCTGAAATTATTTCAACTCGATCAAAATAAATTCAATTAATGAAATTCATTTTTATTTGTTCTGTTTGCACTTTGTATATTCAGTAGCGCCACAAAAAACTGGACACTGATAAATCGCGGCATAATGCCCCTGTATCTTAAAAAAATGTTTGCAAATTTTTTATAAAAATATAGTTTATCCTTCAACAAAACTCACAAAATTCAAAACTCTGCGTACAACTTAAAAAAATGCTTCAAATTTTCATTAAAATTTTTAAATTTTAGGAAAAATTTTATAGTTTTGTAACTTATTGAATTTTAGTACAATAAAGTGCAAGTCGGAAGAAAAAAAAAACAAAAATCAACGGTAAATCTCAGCTACTTCAAACTTGTAAAGTACAAGTTCAATAAACTACATAACTGCATACCCAAATTTTTCTACAATATTAGAAAAAAGTAAAAGTTTCAAGGAAAATTTTGAGAATTTCGCACAGTTTGGAGCTCTGAGTTTTGTTGTAGGATTAACTATGGCCCTTATTATGAGCTGCATTCGATTTTCGATCTTCGCTGGCTATCGAAAATCGAAGATCGAAAGTGAAATTCGTATTATGAGCTATGCAAGCGTGTCGAAATTTTCGCTGAGTATCGAATTTTCTGTCGAACAGAATTTTGCTTTCGATGGTGTAGCGAAGTGTTAGGAAATTGTGAAAAATGTATGATTTTGTATATGTTTTCTTACATTTTGGCGGCTAGACACTAATTTTAAACAATTTTTATTAACTTCATGCAGTTCTAACATCGTGAATACTAAACACAAGCTCGAAAGGCTGCTTTACTTGTGAAAGAAAATCCCAATACTCTGTTGGCACGATCTCTGAGAACAAAATC